GAGTAAGCAACTTTCCCAGGCCTCTAGTTCCCTCTAGTCTTTTTCTTCCCCTTGTTTTGGACCTCTCTGTTATTACATTGTCTTTCTCCAAGGAAGACCTAAAGAGAGAGTTAGTTTCTAGTGTTTGAGAACCTCCCCAGAAGCTCTCCAGTATTTCAGTCCATTTTCTCTCACTTGCAGCTCTTTATTGTGCTGCTCCTCCTCCACCCTCCCTTGGTGGCATGTATCAGTTTCCTATAATCAACACCCACCTAGTCCTGCCTCTTGTGCTTGTCAGATGTCTCCTCCCTGGCTTGCTCATTGCCACTTTTGTCTTTGATACAGCTGCTCTCTAGCAGTCTTTGGCTTTCCGCCTGACTTCCATGGCAGCTGCTCAATCATTGGCCTATCTGCCATCCTGCCCCTTCTCCCACCACTCCTTGTAGGTACAACATGTACTGTACTACTGCACATTCTCCACCCTCAGAGCTAAACTCATCCCCCTACCAAACTGAGTGTCCTCCTTCATGTAGCATTGCAATCCACTGAAGTCAGACCTTGTGGCAGTTCTTCTAGCCTCTCATTTAGTCATTTTTCTACCTCTATAAATTCAAGAGACTTAAGGGCTACATGAAGTCAGAGAACCGGTATAATAGATATAACCAAGTGAACTTCGAGAACAGGAAGTGTGGTCAGATAGTGGAAAGTTAAGATTCTATATGAGAGGTTTTCTGGGTAATGACAGAATCTGGAGTGCACCTATTATTATGGGCACCCAGATGAATAGAGCTATGAGGTCTTTGGAGTTAAGGAAGACAAGGAACTTGAGAGGCTGGTCCCGATCTGTTGTGGCTGTTATCTGAGAGAAGGCTAAAGTCATTCAAGAGAACGTCAGGACTGGAGGATAAGAAAAATCTGGTGAATCACTGGGCAAAAGTCTTCAAGAATAGAGAAATAGTTTACATCTATTAAGAGTGAAAAGGATTCAACCCTACTTTCTGACCAGGCACTCTGGGATAGTTGGAATAGACCAACCATGGAAAGTAAGAATTGATGTGGTTGCAGATGAGTTGTGTATCAGGAGGGAATCAGGAAGTCTCCAGGGATTCCCTGTTTCTTCTCTATAGCTGTCTCTGTCTCTGTCTCTTGTCTCTGTCTCTGTCTTTCTCTGTCTCTGTCTCTCTTTTGCCCGCATGTGCACATATGTGCACTCAATCTCTGTCTCTCTCTTTTCTCTCTGAAAAAACAAGATGTTTTCACTGTGCTTTTCCTGATTTGAGTCTGTGAGTATAACTTGGAGACAACGTGAGACCATAGGTCTTCTTAAATGTCTGTTATTCTCTCGCTTATGTATACAGATCCTCTTACTTCCATCATTGCATTATTTTCCTTTGCATTCTTTTTCTTGAAGTATGCTTTTTTTCTGAATCTTTCTTTTATTTTGGGGGATCAGTTTTTCACATTTGTACTCTGCATTCTTTTCAATGTTTCTTGGTGTTTCTATTGTTATTATAAAGGTGATACACAGAAAGGTTACAGTTACCAATTTTTTAAATTAAAAAATTATACTTTTAATTCAAAGCCAGTGCTTGTAATCCTAACTATTTGGAAGGCAGAAATGGGGCATAAAAGTTCATGTAACTCCTTCTCAAGCCTGAGGCTTGTCACACAGCTATCATCCCAATAACAGAGGGGAGAAAAATTGGATCATGTAGTCCAGATCCCTCCATGCTTAAAGTAAGGCTCTTATCTTGAAAACAACCCTCTGGCAGTAGATTGCTTGCCTAGCAAGTACAAGTCCTCAAGCTCAAACCCCAATACTATCCCCCCCACCAAAAAAAATCATGCTTCTTATTTGAAAATAAAGACTGGTATAATTATAAGAAAGGTACAATACCAAAATATTTATAGACATTTTCACTTCCAGTCTTTCTTATACATGGATCACACTTAGCTAGTTTTGTTGAAATGGAGTCTTTTTACCTAGGTTGACTTTGAAGCATGATCCCCTTGATCTCTGTCTCCCAAGTAACTAGCATTACAGGCATGAGCCATTATGCCAAGTTCCTTCCAGATTTGTTGTAATTTTTTTCCCCCTGCCTAAGACTGGGATCCAAACTCTCACTGGCAGGCTATCTACCACTTGAGCCATACTTCTAACCCCTCCTTCCAAATTTTAACATGAATAAAGTTACTAAAAATATCTATGTGTTGTACAAGTTTTTTTGTTGTTTTTTGTTTGTTTGTTTTTGGTCTGTCATGGGGCTTGAACTCTGGGCCTGAATGCTGTCCCTCTGCTCTTCAGCTCAAGGCTAGTGCTCTACCACTTGAACCACTGTGTCACTTCCAGTTTTCTGAGTGGTTTATTGGAGATAAGAGTCTCACGGACTTTCTTGCCTGGGCTGGCTTTGAATCGCCATCCTCAGATCTCAACCACCTGAGTAGCTACGATTACAGGCATGAGCCACTGGTGCCCAGCTTATGTGTCCAAGTTTTTGTGTGAGTATGCATCTTCAATCATTTGCGCAAACACCAAGAAATGTAGTTGCTGGCTCATATGGTGAAAGTATATTTAGTTTTAGCTGAGCTGCAGTGGCTCATGCCTATAAATCATAGCTACTCAGGAAGCTTAGATCTGAGGATCAAGGTTTAGAGCCAGCTAGGACAAACAAATCCAAGAGACTCTTCCAGTTAATTAGCAAAAAACTGGAATTGGAGGTATGGCTTAAGTGCTAAAGCAACAGATGTAAGTGAAAAGGTTAAGTGAGAATGGATCTTAAGCCTCAGTACCAGCATACCTGCACATGTGTGCATGTACATGCACACACACACATACACACACGCACATATACAAATAATGAAATGAATTGCCAGATTGTTTTTCAAAATGACTTTACCACATTGCAGTCCTACCAGCAATGAATGAGAATTTCTGTTGCTTCATGTTCACAGAAACATTTGTATATCTATGTTTTAGATTTTGACTATTCTAATAGGTATGCATTTAGTTATAGTCCACTGTTGATTTAATTCTTAGTTCCCTAAAGACATGTGATGTCTTTTCACATGTTTGTCACATTTATCTCTTCTTTGGTATATATACACTAATCAGCCTGCCAGTCCGTTTCTTAGTTCTTTGTGGAAAGAATTATATGTATTCCTAATGGTAAGGTGGATTCAGTCAGAAATCAGTGTTTGTTCTCTATCCAAATCTTTCAAAGTTAAATAACTGATTTAATGATCATAGCCTAAGAAAATTAAGAAAGTGATAAAAAAAAAAAAAAAAGTTAGGTTGCCCCTGGAGAAAGCCACCTGCTGAATCTACTCCCCAGCTAGATGTTGCCAATAAGCCATGGCAAACTTCTAGGGTTATATACAAACCATTTACATCTTCCTTTCATACCCCTACCCCACCCCCAAAGATTATCATGTGCCCCTTAGGAAGTCATGTCCTCTTTACTTGAAGGGCAACCACCATACTAAATTAGTCCTGGACAGTGAGCCCCATGGAAGATAAGGCTTGTAATGAATTATTCCACAATTGTTTCTCTAGGGTTGACCTCATTGTAGATATAGGAATATGAATGGATGAAGGAATCCCTATTACTAGTGAGAATGTGCCACTGTCTTCTTACAGAGTTTGAGGAGGAGTAAAGGTTGAGAACAGCTATATAACATGATACACTTCAAAGAGTATACAGTAATTAGTACACTCAGCCTACTTTCTCCATACTTTTCATTCTGTAGAGGGTAAAGCTGCACATAGCAATTAACTTCAGATTAAGGGTCACTCCCTAGCTCTCACTCACAGAGCTAAAGTCTGGCCTGGGCATTTTTTAGCAGATTTTTAGTGATTCTAAAGTGCAACCAGGCATGATAATTATTGTTTTAAAAAATATGTTCTTGTTGGACATAGTGGTACATGCCTGTAATCCCAGCAGCATTCCGTGGCTGAGACAGGAGGATCTCAAGTTCAAGGCCAGTCTGTACTCTACATAGTGAAACCTTGTCTCAAAAAATATATATTCTAAAAAAAAGAAAAAGAAAAATATATATATATATTATTTTTTTTTTTTTTTTGTCCGTCATGGGGCCTGAACTCTGTGCTTGGGCACTGTCCCTCAGCTCGTCAGCTGTAGACTAGTGCTCTAACACTTGAGTCTCAGCCCCACTTCAGCTTTTTCTGCTTATGTGGTGCTGAGGAATCGAATCGAGGGCCTCATACATGCAAGGCGAGCACTCTACCACTGAGCCACCTTCCCAGACCCCAAAAGATATATTCTTAATTAAGCCTACTTTCATTTGTATAAAGGCCCAAAACCTAAGTGGTGGCTCATGCCTATAATCCATCTACTTGGGAGGTTAGGGGCAGTTGACTACTACTTGCAGCCTGCCAAAGCTAGCAAGACCCAGTCTCAAAAGCATATGCATATTTAAGGGCTGGAGACATGGCTCCAGTGGTGAAACACTTTTCTAACAAGTATTTAGTCCCAAGTATTGCAGAAAGGAAAAAAATAAAAGTAACAGTCCGGCTTCTAGGGAAATATAATGTATCAGTTTCACAAGGGATTATTAAGCCTGTGCACTGTGTGTGTGTGTGTGTGTGTGTGTGTGTGTGCGCGCGCGCGCACACACACGCATGCACATGCACACATATGTAGGTCAGCCAGTTCCTGACCTACAAGTTCCTGAGGCTTGAACTCAGGGCCTGGGCACTGTCCCTGAGCATTTTTGCTCAAGACTAGCACTCTACCACTGGAGCTACAGTTTAACTTCTAGCTTTTTGGTGATTAACTGGAGAGAAGAGTCTTACAAACTTTCCTGCCTGGATGGCTTTGAACCATGATCCCCAGGTCTTAGCCTCCAGCTAGGACTACAGGCATGAGCCGCTGGCACTCAGCATGTACGTATCTTTTAATAACTACAGAAATGCTGCCCAGAATACTTTTTTTGTATTTCAAGTTATTTGGATATAGTTATAATAACATCAAACCTCACCTTATACAATTCCTGTTTTCCAGGTCAGCATGGATTCCTCGTTCATTCTTGTTCTGCTTGGCAGTAGTCTGATGTGTGCCAGTGCCAACAATGCTACCACAGGTAAATTGTCATTTGAGTAGAGACTATATTTGAAAATAATATTTTGCTTTCACATAAAATGACAAATTTCGAGACTTAGGTAGTAGAAAATTAATAAGAATTAAATTTTGATTTAAAAATGATGTTATGTTGGGGTGCTGTATTTTAGGGGAAGAGGTCAGGCAATGAGATAGAGGGAATGAGATTGATTGGAATACAGTGCTACAAAAATGTAAGAAGATACAGCAATGAATTATCTCTGTATAACTGATGAGAGAGAGAGAGTGTGTGTGTGAGTGTGTGTGTGTGTAAAAGTATGTAATGGTAAATGAAATGTGGGGTTTTTGTTGTTGTTTTTTCAAGGTTGTGTGTGTGTACCAATCCTGGGCCTTCTTGAACTCAGATGCCTGGGCGCTGTCCCTGAGCTTTTTTCTCAAGGCTCCCACTCTACCACTGGAGCCACAACTTCACTTCTGGCTTTTTGGTGATTAATTGGAGATAAAAGTCTTGTGAACTTGCCTGACCATGTTGGCTTTGAGCTGTGATCCTCAGTTCTTGCCTCCTAGTAGCTAGTATTACAGCATCAGCTACCAATGCTCAGCAAAATAAATGTATTTGAAAAAATCTCTGAATTATGTTGAGTGCTCAGCTTTGCTATACATATTGTCTATATGAGATTATATAATCATTTTAGTATACCAAAGAAATTATATATTCTGTTCTGCTAAGTAAAAGAAGTTATTGGTACTTAACACTGTTCATTCTGATCTATAAAGAATTAAATTTCTTCTGCCACACACAATACTTTTTCTTTTCTTTTTTTTTTCGGGGGGTCTGGTCATGGGGCCTGAACTCTGAGCCTGGGCGCTGTCCTTTAGCTCTTCAGCTCAAGGCTAGCGCTCTACCACTTGAGCCACAGCACCACTTCCGGCTTTTTTCTTTTTTCTTATGTGGTGCTGGGGAATCGACACAGGGCCTCATTCATGCAAGGCAAGCGCTCTACCACTGAGCCACCTTCCCAGCCTCCCTTCTCCCCGCCACAATACTTTGGAGGAAATGGAAAGGGACCAACAATAGATGAAGAGGGTGTGTGTGTGTGAGAGAGGGGGTGGTGTGGGGAGAAAGAGAAAGAGATATCTTTGCTTGGTCTCCAAATATTTAAAAAGTTTAGTGAGACTTGACTGCTTTGTGTCATTTAAGCTTCACATTTCTTTGTGTAATGTTTCGTTATCCTTGGATGTTTTGTAGTTTCACCCTCCTTGGGAATTACGAAATTAGTTACAGCATCAGCAGCAGAATCGGCTAAAGAAGAGAACAAAACTTCAAATCCAACCTCTTCAGTAATTTCTACTTCTGCAGCAACAATATTCAGCCGAAATCTAACTCTACAACCCACCTATGTAACCACTGTCAATTCTTCACACTCTGACAATGGGACCACACAAATAGCAAGCACCAATTCTGTAGGCATTACCATGTCACCAAATGGAACATGGCTTCCAGACAGCCAGTTCACAGATGCCACAACAGAACCCTGGGATGGGAATTCCAGCACTGCTGCAACCACTCCAGAAACCTTCCCTCCTGCAGGTACCAGAGATGCTTCCTGTTTGTCCCAACTTTTCTTTTTTTCCATTCTTTCTTTCAAAATTAGCTTATTCCAGTTCTACCAGTGATAAGATTTCATTGATATAGCTCCACACATTTATACTCTATTCCAGTCAATCTCACCTCCTCTATCACTCTGTTCCATCTGATTTCTTCTTCAAATTTATTCACCATTTTGTTTATTGTGTGTGTAAAACTTCTTAAGGAAAATAACATTGCCCAAGCAAAGTAATGAAACTTAGAGGTAAGGAATTCTTAAGAATAGCTAGTCAACATAGAGTTTTCTGAATCATATCTGCTAGGTAAGATCTTGGTTAGTAGACCATGTTTAAAGGTAAAGAAGGTTGAAAACATGAGAGAGAAACTAATTAATGATGCAAGAAACTAAACATGAAAAAGTAAGAAGAATGAATAATAATAGCTTTGAAAAGAAAAGGATCCAGGGCTGGGAAGGTGGCTCAGTGGTAGAGCGCTTGCCTTGCATGCCTGAGGCCCTGGGTTCCATTTCCTCAGTACCACATAAGCAAAAAAAAAAAAGCTGGAAATGGTGCTGTGGATCAAGTGGTAGAGTGCTAGCCTTGATCTGAAGAGCTGAGGGACAGCCCTCAGGCCCAGAGTTCAAGCCCCACGACCGGACCCCCAAAAAAAAAGAAAAAAAGAAAAGGATCCATAGAGACCATGGCAAGGGGTATGGAAACCAGAGGTGGTTAGAAAGGGGGGCCCAGGGAAACTTTCATTGTGGGGCCTCAGGATCTCAGCCCAGTCCTCTGTCTCCTAGAATCAGAGTCACTGGATTAAAGTTCTGGGTCTGGGACCAGGTCTGTAAAAGAGTGTCCCTTATGTGCCCAAGGATGTAATTGTTCCCTGATTGCCATGTGACTCCTATTTCATTTCTAGCAAAATTATTATTCCCTCTTCAATAATCCCCCGGCTCAATTTTTTTCAGGGGGAGGAGAGGTGGTCATGGGTCTTGAACTCAGGGCCTTGGTTCTGTCTCTGAGCTTTTTCACTTTTTCACTCTATCACGTTGAACCACTGTGTCACTTCCAGTTTTCTGGTAGTTAAAAGGTAAGAGTCTCATGTACTTTCCTGCCTGGTCTGGCTTTTCAGTGATCCTCAGATCTTAGCCTTTTTAGCCTTTTGAGTAACTAGGATTATAGCCATGAGCCACCAGCACCCTTCTTTCAAATTTTTTCCTGATTTGTGGATTCCCCTAATTGGAATCATGTCTGGCTCAGGGGTACATTCAGAAAGTACTTGATAAAGTTAATCTCATTTGGTTATTACAGATTATATCTTTCAGATAGATCTCATAGTCCAGATCTGATACTTGCCTGCTTTGATCTCATTTTTTTCTATGGAGCAATATAAAACTAGATGCTGGTGGCTCACACCTATAATCCTATCTACTTAGGAGACTGAGAGATCTGAGGATCATAGCTTGAAGTCAGCCCTGGCAGAAAAGTTCATGAGACTCTTAACTCCAATTAGCCACCAAAATTCTGGAAATGGAGCTGTGGCTAAAGTGTTAGACTGCTAGTCTTGAGCAAAGAAGCTCAGGGACAGTACTCAGGCCCCAGAACTGGTATCTATCCAGATAGATATAGCATAGCTATAGATGAAAATGAGTTACAGTAAAGAGCATAGTCTACAGAACTACATTACCTATTTGAATCCCAGCTCTTCTGTAAACTTAGTTGTGTGACCGACCTACTTAATTTTAATTTTTTTCATCTGTAAAATTAGAATGAATGATAGTAATGGTTTTTGCTTTAGAGAGATTAATCAGATTAATTAATTAATATGGATAAATTACCTACTATGATAAACACATTTTAAATACTGGTTATTATTGTCAGTACAATTATTGCTTTCTTTTTTTTGGTTTGGTTTTGTCGATCGTGAGTTCAAGAACTCTGGGCACTGTCCCTCAGCTCTTCAGCTCAAGGTGAGCGCTCTACCACTTGAGCCACAGCGCCACTTCTGGTTGTTTGTTGAAGATAAGAGTCTCACAGACTTTCCTGCCTGGGCTGGCTTTGAACCATGATCCTCAGATCTCAGCCTCCCTAGTAGCTGGGATTACAGGCATGAGCCATCGACACCCAGTTTATAATTATTGCTTTCATAGTTATCAACAAAGTATATGATCAGGCATGGTGACATACTGTGAACCTCAGGAGTCCTAAGTCAGGAGGATCACTAGTTGTTGACCAGCCTGGACTAGGTAGTAAGTTCCTGTCTCACAAAACCAAGAGCTAAAGCTGAAGGTATAGCTCAGGGGTAGAATGCCAGCCTACCAAGCACAGTTCAAACTCCAGTACCGCCAAAAAGAAAAAAGAAAAAGATTCTCCTTTTGCCAAGCACCTGTAATCTTAGCTCACTTCTTTAATCTTGGCTCACACCTGTAATAAGAAGGAGATCTAGTGGATCAACATTGATAGCCAGTCCAAGTAGAAAAGTCCACAAGACCTCCAGAAAAATAAGCAGGGCTGGAAGCATAGCTCAAGGGGTTGAGTGCCAGCCAAGGATGTAGGAAGTCCTAAGTTCAAACCCTGGTTCCAGAAGAAAGTAAAATGACAAAACCAAACAAAAAAACCCACAACGTCTAAGTGTAGAGCCCAGTGGTAGACAGCTTTATTCTAAAATAAGATTAGATTGATAAGCCATCCAACTATTTTCAGACAGTGAACTGCAGACGGTGTCTGCAATTTGCTTTGTACTTTAACATTATAGTTTTATCATAGTGCAATAACTTATAGGGATAAAAGTTTTCTAAAATAATCCAAGTAAGGTTTTTTTAGTGCGTGAAAAAATTTTACAATAATGAAACAATTTATGGAATATTTTGTAATGTCCAGATTATAATCTACTTATGAAATCAGTTTAAATGGGCCACCACTTGTGTTTTGTTTTGTTGATTAGCATATATTAATTGTACAAAGGAAGAGGTCATTTGTGGTATTTCCATACATATATACAATGTATCACAGCCAATTTTACCTGCTCTATCTCTTAGCCATTGTTTTGGTTTTGGTGCCAGTACTGGAGCTTAAACTCAGGTCCTCACCTTTTAGCTTGGCTTTTTCATTCAAGGCTAGCACTGTACCATTTGAGCTACACTGCCACTTCCAATTGTTTTGTTTTAATGGATAGTCCTATTTCATTTTTATTCTTTATATGTTACATATATCATTTTGTGCAACTTTAGTATGTTACACACAGATGCCCAAAGAATAACAGTTACTAAATAACAAAGTAAAATATATTTCTCAATGTAAGTTAGGGAGGAAAGGCAGAACTACCTGACAAACTAAATAACTGAAAGAAGTCTAACTGTAATCCAGGCTCAACTAACTTTGTAGCCCATGTTTGTTTGTTTTTTCTGTACTCTTTTATTTAACAATTCTGTGAGGTTACCTGGATAGTTAATCTTCTTTTAATACATGTTTAATGTAAGGTTATAAAGGGTAAATGATTTTTTTAGGATATCATGGCATGTAAGTAGCAAATTAGGCATATTTATCATTTTTATGGTTTTTCCATAAAATGAATTAGTTTTCGATATAATGAGTAAGATCCAAAGTATGCCCATAGCTAAGATTCCAGTTAGTATACATTTAACACATTTCATGTCAAAGGAGACAAACTATTTATTACTGGTGCCTTTATTCAAGATGAATAAAACACGAAGAAACTATTGCAGTCTATTTCACAGACTTAACTCTGACATCCTACATCATCACCATTATACCAATCTTCCTATAATATTTTACATCATAGATGTAAATTGATGATGATGATAATGTATAGTGTGTGGTACTAAGGATTGATGATGATGATGTGTGGTGCTGGAGATTAAACCCATTGCCTCACAAGTGCTAGACAAGTACTCTTAAAACACTGAATTTAGCTCATGCCTATAATCCTAGCTAATCAAGAGTCTGAGATCTGAGATCACATTCAAAGCCAGCCCGGGCAGCAAAGTCCATAAGACTCCTATCTCCAGTTAACCCCAGAAAATGGAAGTGGTGCTGGCTCAAAGTTGCTAAGTTCTAGCCTTGAGCAAAAAGCTCAGAGACAGCACCCAGCCCTGAGTTCAAGCACCACAACCAACAAAAAAAAGTAAAGACTACTGAACTTGCACCCCTAGCCCAGATGTTTTTATATTATTATAACTATGAAATATTGTTTTCTGCCAAACTATAATTATGATTTGACTATTTGGGGGGGACAACTTTTTCCAGATTTAATAATTATCTTTTTCCTTGTTTTTTATTTAGTTATTGCTAGCCATTTTTCCATTTTTCTCCAGAGCCTGTCAGTACAGTTTGCTACAAAGTCAGACCTATTAGGTAATCAGTTTTTTTTTTTCAACTATAGAAATTTCTCTTAAGCCTTCCATTCTTATTCCAGCCTAGGCTTGTTGGTTTCTAGGGCTCCTACACTGGTATTTCCTGGGATTTCCCTTTTCCATCATTGTAGGAATTCTCATTGCTTCTGCCTGGCTTCCACTTTGTTCTTTCTTGTCTTCTTCCATCATTTGACAGAGCATGTCCTTGAGAAAGGGATCCACAGCAGATAAATTGCATAAAACTTGGCATGTCTGGAAGAATTTTTAGCACTCTTGTGTAGAATTTGAGGAAATAATTTTCCCCTAGAATTTTGAAAGTTTTTCCCTAACTGACAATTTCCAAGTTTGGAGAATTCTACTGCTTTCCCAATCCCTAATTCTTTTTGTGTTTTTAAGATCTTCACTCTCATTGGTGTCCTGAAATTTTGCAAAGATATATCTTTTCTTTTTCTTTAACAGCTCTGGAATTTGAACTAAAGGGGTTGCATTTAGAATGTAGCCACTCTACTCTCCTGTTGAGCCATCTACTGCTGAGCCATGCCCTCAGCCTTTTTTTGTACTGACCATTATTGAGATAGGGTTTCACTTCTCACCTGGATCACAGTAGACTATTTTAGGCATCCCATTGTAGCTGGTATAATGGGCATATGCAACCACGTTTAAAATATGGAATCTCCATATTTTAATAGAAAAAAAAAGAACTTGGCTGGGCACCAGTGGCTCACATCTATAATCCCATCTACCATCTATAATCCTATCTAATTGGAGACTGAGATCTGAAGATCTTAGTTTAAAGCCAGCCCAGGAAATTCAGTAAGACTTTTATCTGCAACTAACCGTCAGAGAGCCAGAAGTAAAGCTGTCAAGTAGTAGAGTGCTAGTTCTGACCTAAAAGGCTCAGGAATAGCACTCAGACCCTGAGTTCAAGCCCCAAGACCAGGATAAAATTTAAAAACAAAACAAACAAAAAAAAACAAGGAGCAAATAGAATATGCCATACTAGATAGGAAGACTGAACATTCTGTAGATACCATCTCTTCCCATTTCCTATATATTTAACATAATTAATATTTTTCCAGATAGACAAAATGATCTTTTTTTTTGGGGGGGCGGTGTCTGGTCATGGGGCCTGAACTCTGGGCCTGGGCGCTGTCCCTCAGATCTTCAGCTCAAGGCTAGCGTTCTACCACTTGAGCCACAGCGCCACTTCCGGCTTTTTTCTTTTTGCTTATGTGGTGCTGAGGAATCCAACCCAGGGCCTCATGCATGCAAGGCAAGCGCTCTACCACTGAGCCACCTTCCCAGCCCTGACAAATTGATCTTGACTTTCATAAGGAGTCAGGAACTGATGGCTCATGCCTGTAATCCTAGTTACTCAGGAAGCTGAGATCTGAGGATCACTGTTCAAAGCCAACCAAGGCAAGAAAGTCCATGAGACTCTTACCTCCAAATAACTACCAGAAAGCTGGAAGTGAGTTGTGGCTCAAAGTAGTAGACAGTTAAACTTGTGCAGAAGAGCTCAGGGCTAGCACCCAGGCCCTGAGTTCAAGCCCCACAACTGACAGAAAAGAAATGTAGTCTTTTAACTAGACAACTTGGTTGTCAGATAAAAATTAAGAGTTCTATATCAAAGGCAAGAAGAGGGTTTGTCATGGAACACAGGTTCTCACATGCAAGGCAAGCACTGTACACTGAGCCCCAGTCCCAACTGTTGTTTTTAGGGTTTGTTTGTTTTTTCAATTTTGATTTTTTTCAGTGTTTAATTTAATTCCTTGTTTTAATATATTATGATGAAAGAATATTATGCTGTTTCACCATTGGGAATTTTCCACAGGTCTTTCAAAAGGTATTCTTTATCAAAACAGAACTGGGTATATAGAATTTGATTTTGTTGCATAATATCATTTAGACCTTTTATAGCTTTAATTTTCTCCTCGTACAGTCTAATGATCCAAAAGACAAAGTCCTCTAAAACCATACATTTGTATCCTTAAGCTTTCTATGAATATTGCTGCTGCATTGTTTGTGTACTCCAGAAGACCAGACCACTGACTTAAGTTTAGTGAACTTGAGATATTTTGTTTCCAGTTATTGGGAGAGTTCCCAACTCAGCTCCAACACTGAATATAGAGAAAAGTATCTACATTCCTTATTTTGTTTTACCTTCAATTGAATCGTAATATTTTTCTCTAACCTGAGTGAATGTTCTCTATTTTTCACTTACTACACAGGTAATTCTGACTTGAAGGACAGAAGAGGTGAGCTGCTCACCTTTGTGTGTCATCCTTTTCCCACAATGTGCACAGTTCATCCATGTTTCCTCTGCTCTCAGTCTGTACAGATCTTGTGCATCTGTGTTTGTGGTGTGTTTACTTTCCGTTAAAGTGTTTCCATGTTAATCACAATTAAGAAGTAAGAAATGGATGTTTAATATATTTTTAGATATAGATTACATATATAGATGCTGACAGCTTTGATACATTTTAACAATTAATAATACTATAATTACTATTTTACTTGTTTTTGTTCCCTTGTTAATATTATCCTTTGATGCTATTAGGTCATAACTTACGAGGCAGTGGCATAGAAATAATACAACATTCTAAGAAATATTCTTTAATTTGAGTTTGGAAATAATATTCTCTGAAGAAGTTGTTTCATCATGGTTTTAATGTCAAATCAGACTTTTTGAGATTTTTTTTTTATTCTGATTTTATTAGCCATGTTCAAATTATTCTACATAAATTGTGGGTCTGTGAAATCCACCAATTAGAAAGTCATCTGAGTTAGAAAAGTGAATGTTTTGATTTGTGTGCTGGACTTGAGGCTTGAACTCAGGGCCTGGGTGCTATCCCTCAGCTTTTGTGCTCAAGTCTAGCGCTCTACCACTTGAGCCACAGCTCCACTTTCAGCTTTTTGGTGGTTAGAGATAAAAGTCTCGTGGACTTTCCTGTTCATGCTGGCTCTGAACTGTGAGCCTCAGATTTCAGCCTCCTGAGTAGCTAAGATTACAGACATGAGGCACCAGTACTCAGCAAATATTCTGATTTTTTTTTTAATGTTATTTATCTGCCACAGTGAAGGATAGTGAGATACTGTATTCTGTATTTTTCCCTTGCTTTAACATCCCTTGCTTTCCTAAACTCAGGAAGCAAACATAGGTGAATGGAGTTAAGTGCCTTTGCTGTTCAGCTTCACCTACTAGAGTCTCCCTAGCAGATATAGAATTTAATAGATTTGTATTGCAGACATATGTATGGTTGTTTTCTAAAACTACTCTTTTAACAAGTCTTAGAGGCAAAAGTCGAAGTATAGTTTCAAGTTTAAAGATGAGCTACATGATTCTTAGTGTATGTTTTCAAAATAACCAGCCTTTCTCACTCCACATATGCTTATTTTACTTAGCTAATGTTTAAGTAATTCTAATGGAAAAGAAACAAAGGCTGGGAATGTAGATCATTGGCACAATGCTTGCCCACCATAGGCATAGGAAGGCCCTAGTTACCGTCCCCATCACTGAGAAAAAGAGGGAGGAAAGTAGGAAGGAAGAAAATTACCTTAATTATCTTCATTATTGCTAAATGTGACATATGGGAAGTTTACTATAAGTGAATCTCCTTCTTAAGCCACAAATTAAACCAAACAGAAATTACAAAGGCTTTACAGACTTTCAGTCTCTAAAGCCCCATATGTAATGATTTTTTTTAACCAGAACAAATCTTTAAAAGTACCGCTGTAAATTTTTTATATTCTTTTGGTGCTAGATTAAACCCATGACCTCTCATGCTAAGTCTGTTCTCCCACTGAGTTACACCCCAGCTTCATAACATCCTAATTTTAGAGCCAAATGCTTTTTGAAAAATGAGACAACTGTTTGGAAATATTTGCATTACAATAGGTTTGATAAGCAAATTATGTGAATTAAGGTTATAAGTTTTTATGCAGTAGGCTCGGGTGCTTTTAAACGGCAATGGCTGGTATTTAAATTGTCAGAGCAGAAAAGAATAAAGAAAGTGAAGGAGGCACAGGCAATTTTTCTTTCTCTGTCTCCAAGACACTAGTTATTTTCTCATGTATGTTACTTTTTAACTGTATATTCCAAGTTACTTGGGTAGAAGTAGTTTAAAAAATATATGCTGAGAAGGTGGCTCAGTGGTAGAGTGCTTGCCTTGCATGCATAAGGCCCTGGGTTCGATTCTGGGTTCGATTCCTTAGCACCACATGAGCAGAAGAAAAAAAAAAAAACCAGAAGTGGTTCTATGGCTCAAGTGGTAGAGTGCTAGTCTTGAGCTGAAGAGCTAATAGACAGCGCCCAGGCCCAGAGTTCAGACCCCATGACCGGACCCCCCCCCCCACCAAAAAAAATATATAAATATATATATATATATGGTCCATGAGATTCTTTAACCTGCAAAAAGCCAGAAGCGGAGCTATGGCTCAGGTGGTAGAGTGCTAGCCTTCAGTAAAACAACTAAAGGATAGTACCCAGGCCTTGAGTTCAATCTTCAGGACTGGCACAAAAGAAAAAAAGTAGGAGGGGCTGGGATATAGAGCACTCACCTAACATACATGAGGTTTTAAGATACATCCCCAGCACAACCACCAAAATACAGATATAGGTATATTTATATAACATAAAATTAACCATTTTAATAACTTTTTTTTTTCTGGTCTTGGGGCCTGAACTCTAGGCCTGGGAGCTGTCCCTCAGCTCTTCAGCTCAAGGCTAGTGCTCTACCACTTGAGCCTCAGTCCCACTTCTGGCTTTTTCTGCTTATGTGATGCAGAGGAATCGAACCCAGGGCCTCATGCAAAGCAAGCACTCTACCACTGAGCCACCTTCTCAGACCCCATTTTAATAACTTTTACCAGTGACATTATATTTACATCATGTGTAATAATCCAGAACTTCTATTATCCAATTGAAACCAGCTTCCTTTTTTTTTTTTTTTTTTTTTTGTTCAGTTATGGGGCTTGAACTCTAGGCTTGGGCGCTGTTCCTGTGCTCTTCAGCTTAAGGCAAGTGCTCTACCACTTGAGCCACAGCACCAATTCTGGTTTTCTAGTCTCACGGACTTTCCTGCCCAGGCTGGCTTTGAACTGCAGTCCTCAGATCTCAGCCTCCTGGGTAGCTAGGATTACAGGTGTGAGCCACCGGCACCTGGCCCAACTTCTTTTTTTTAAAGCATTTTTACTGGCATCAAGTTGGATGATTGGCATATCAATTTCCTCATGTATAAGATAGGGTCAGTCTATGCCAGCAACATATGTGTTTAAATGTTAATAATGTTTGTTACTTAATTTGGAACATCTGGCTAGCTATCTTCAATATTCCTTTATAATCATCAACTTTCCTAGTAGTCATAAATAATACTGAAGTTTCATGCCTTCCTGATACTCATCCCACTTGCTCACTTACTTGACCTTTCCTGATTACCTCATCTTAAATAATAGAATACTCCACCCTCTTCCCTCTTTTGCTCTTCCTTGCTTTCTTCGTAGCATGTGTTTGTATTATAGACTTCCTGTTATTATCCTGTTCACTAAAAGTAGAGAATTTTGATTTATTCACTCCTATATCCTCAGGACTAAGCTAAATCCTTGACCTAAGAATAAATTCTGAGCTTAGTGAGACCTGGAAATCATCTTGAATCCATATCCTCAAGGAACATAATGCTTAATGGAGTTATAATCAGTAACTTTAGTCCAATATGGTAGGGATCATAGAGATAGTGCTACAGAAGTATACAAAAGCCTGGCACCACTGGCTCATGACTATAATTCAAGCCACTCAGGAGTCTCAGATCTAGAGGATCAAGGTTTGACAAAGCTAGTCCTAGCAGAGAAGTCAATGAGACTTTTATCTCCATTTAATCAACAAAATGCTAGACTTGGAGGTATGGCTTAAGTGGTAGAACACTAGCCAAACAAGCACAAGACTTGGAGTCCAAGCCCCTAGTTTGGCATTAAATTGAGCTGTTCTAAAGCCTAGACTTGTAGAACGGTACTTTGCATCTGAAGGGTCTTTGGTTCTTACTAATCTCTTTAACAGTAGTCCAAAAATTCTCCAAGTTTCTGCTCTACAGATGCTAACTGTTGTTCCCTTCTAGATAAGCTATTGATTCATGGCTTTTTTGGGGTATGTGCCAGTTGTGGGTCTTGAACTCAGGGCCTAGGTGCTATCTCTGATCTTTATTGCTCAAGGCTAGCACTCTACCTACCACTTTGAGCCACAGCTATACTTCTGGTTTTTAGGTTTTAATTGGAGATAAGAGCCTTACAGCCTTTCCTACCCAGGCTGGCTTTGAACCATGATCCTCAGATCTCATCCTCCTGATTAGCTAAGATTACAGTGTGAAGCCACTAGCGCCTGGCTTTCATGAGTATTTCTTCTATCATTTATTATATGATTTGGAGAAGAACGTGATAATAAAATGGATTCAGCCACTGTCCTGAGCCCAAGTGTTATTTAATTATTTCCTTATAATACTCCTTTAATGCTTCCTTAAAATACTGTCCTCTGTGATTGGAATTTAATAAGACATACTTCATGATAAACCACTACTGCTTTTATTCACTCATATAACATAATCCAGTATTGTTAGCACCTACTGTGTATGAGGTCCTGTCCTGAGTTTGTTTTCTTTTTCTTTCTTTCTTTCTTTTTCTCTTTTCTTTCTTTTCTTTCTTTCTTTGTCATCCTCTTCCCCATCCCCCCTCCTCCTCCTCCTCTTCTTCTTTTTCTTCTTCCTTCTTCTTCTTCTTCCTCTTCTTATCCCTCTTCTTCCTTCTTCTTCCTCTTCTTCCTCCTCTTCCTCTTCTTCCTCCTCTTCCTCTTCTTCCTCTTCTTCCTCTTCTTCTTCCTCTTCTTCTTCCTCTTCCTCCTCTTCTTCCTCTTCTTCCTCCTCTTCCTCTTCTTCCTCCTCTTCTTCCTCTTCTTCCTCCTCTTCCTCTTCTTCTTCCTCTTCCTCCTCTTCCTCCTCTTCCTCTTCTTCCTCTTCTTCTTCCTCTTCCTCCTCTTCCTCCTCTTCCTCTTCTTCCTCTTCTTCCTCCTCTTCCTCTTCTTCCTCCTCTTCTTCCTCTTCCTCCTCTTCCTCTTCTTCCTCCTCTTCCTCTTCTTCCTCTTCCTCCTCCACCTCCTCCTTCTTCTTTTGCCAGTCATGGGGCTTGAACTCAGGGCCTGGGCACTGTCTCTAAGCTCTTTTGCTCAGGGCTAGCACACTACCACTTTGAGCCACAACTCTACTTCAGTTTTTTT